ACGGTTTGATCAGGAACGATCAGGTGCTCAGGCAATGCAAAGCAGCTTTCGAGATAAACACGAAGTGCATTGCAGATATTGGTGATTCCGACGATTTGTTGGACGAAGCGTTCACGGACCAAAATGGAGAGTTTCGCGTTGATGGTACCACTCGTGAAATGACTACCATTGAGCCGATACTGAAGATTTTCCACGATTGCAATGACGGTATTAGGGTGAGTCGTATGGTTATTTCCACTGTCTTTTATTCTTTGACTTATACCTGATTGAATCGGGAATTGGATTGCCATCTGATCTGTATTGCTTGGATATGGAATGCCGAAAACATTTTTCATTCAGTTGTTGTATGGGTCATTGAAGTTCCATTAGCGAATCGCATCTAAATTACTGTAAGCTAATAGTGTTGACAAATAATAGCAAATATTTTCGTAGACGATAATATTTGGCAGTAATGTTTAATGCAATATTTATGACCCATCATAAAGTGGAATCGAATGAACAGTTCGCAAAGTCACATTTCCGGTCCAAAACACGGTTGTAAACATACACAAACATGTTGTTTGTTTACTCGACCAAATGATTGCTTACTATCGAAAGCAAAATAAAAACACTCTCATTTTGATGTTTACAAACACTCACAAAATTTTGATCACTTATAATTTGAGTAACATTAAGATATCAAAAAATATGATTTGATTTTGTGGAAAAACATGCAGCTCTACAGTTCCCTTAACCAGATCACTAGTTATTCAGCAACATAAACCAGTGTTTCTCGGAACATTAGCACACGGCCTTTCAGCTGTTTACAGTGAACAAGTTCGATGTTTAGCGAATACAAGTTTAGGGGATGTAAGTTCGATCGCTACTGATCATTGATTTGTCGAAAAAAGTTCCATTTGTGCATAACAACCTTCCAGATCACCCTGATCGCTAGTCAATTTTACTGCAATTTTAGCCATGCCAAAAACTTGTGCAATTCGATGTTCCCGAAAAATACATTCATCGTGGTAAGGTCAACGAATGGTTCGATATCGGTGAACTGAATATGGAAATGACGTTCAGAAACGAGGGACGTGAATGCAATGTTTAGTGCAAATGCAATATGACATGATTGAATTCAATAATACAATATATGTTCACTTTATTTCTTGAATAAAAGTTTTGAATCTGACTTGAATGCTTTTCGTTCGATTTTGCGCTATGTTTATATCATTTCGACTAATTCTAAACGAATTCAGTGTTCTTGCTTCATTAAACTGTCACTCGTACACAGCAGAAACCCGGGTCACCTTCTCCCTGGAAGGTACACACTCCACACCAAACAGTGCAACTTCTCGGCTATTCACACAGTAATTGATGGCATGACGGAATGCTCATAGGATGGATCTGCACAGAACAAAAGAAGCAAAAGAATTATTCGCTAGTTGCAATATCTCATAGCATAAAGTTCTCCTCATAGCTCTTTGCATAATTTCTTATCAAACAATATTCTGGCATCAAACGGTACCTCCAATGATCAATTATACACATGTTCAATATACAAGTGTGACAGCATGATCAACTACAATGAAATACTTTAATGGGATCAATCTCCTGACCAAACACGCATCTCAATCGATATCGTGAAAAGGTTCTTCTCGTGCGAAATATTCTTTCCAAGTAGACATACTGGTAAGGCCAAGCTCTTTGGCCTTCGTTTCGCATCGTGGTGGAACCATCATATCGTCCTTCATTTTGATCGCATTCAACGCGTCTCGCCGTAACATCACCTTTAAAAATTCCGATCGTAAGTGTTCAATCACATCAGCAATATGCAATTCATGCTCACGACTCTGATGTCGTTAAAGAGCAACAATTCAAACAAAATTTCTAAAACATCAAAAAAGGAATTTTTCTTTCAAAAAAAGTTCGAAATTTCTACGATTCTCATGAGTCTGGAGTGGTGAATTACACCATAAAACTTGTGAGGAACATAAATAAACCAACGAAAATGAACTAACATATTCAAGAACCACTGAAAGAACGACGATTATGAAGCCGAAAGTAAACAGAATTGAGCCAATAGTTGCACATGATATCTGCAATCATGAAAAAACTTGAAGTTTCAAAAATGTGCTTTCAGAAAGGTTTTGGTAAACATACATGAACGTGTTTGTATTGACAATCACTGAGAGCATCCAAAAATTCCGAAAATTTACCGAAAATGCGAAATTTCTCTGAAGATGACAAAAAAATTCCAGTATCTCCGTAAGTATTAAAAAAAAGCACTGAACCATCAATGAGCCATCTATTATGATCATCAAAGATACCCTTTAAGAATAATATTGTTATAGCTGAACTGATATCATGAAACGGAAAATATCAGTTATGAGGAATTTTTTTGTAAGTATTTGATTGATTCAAGTGAGAGGATTGAGTAGAAGATGATCGTTCGGTCTTTGCGCCGCATGCGGGTTGGTATTTTTCACATCATCGATCTAGTAGGTTTTATTTTGAATTGTATGAATTTTACACATGAAATGCACTCATCAGGTATGTGATCACTTTACTGTAATGATATTGCGTAGCATAGGGAAATGAAATTATCGGAGAAGGATTGCACTTAGCGGAGTTGTTCACAATAATAATTGGGAGTTTACTTGAAGCTTGGAGAGTTGAAACGCTTCCGGAAAAAGAGCTGCCGAAGCAGCCGCTCGTTCGTTCATCCAATGAATTAAACGAATCAATTTGTCGTAAAATTTTACGAGCACCGCAACGAAATGCAAGAAAAGCATCGAAAGGAAGTAGTTCTACAACTTAATGTTAATTCGTTGACATTTGTTTACATCAGTAAAATCAAATAAAATCATTTTGCGAAAATTATTTTCAACGTTTCTTGCTTACTTGTCAATGTTGCAAATTCAATTGAGATGTTGAGATGTTCAGTTGTTTCCCTATCCAAAATTGGTTCCCAATCCCATCCTTTTTGCTGCAATTCTCACGATTACCACTTTCAAATGTGTGATTTCATTATTTTTGGGTGTTTCTGAAAATATTTGGGCATAGAAAACTTCGTAATTGTACGCATTTCCTAATTAACATTCATGATGTCAGTCAATAATAACAATAATACATTTGTTATCGAAATAGTCAATACTTTCATGAACTAATGTGATTATCATTCAATAACAACAGCCACCAATTCTCCATATGACTCATGCCATATGGGTGTCAACCGAAAACAATCGAATCACTCACACTCATTTGCTCGCATCAAAAACAAATCTGTCACAGTCAGCAGTTCTAAAAACAAAATTAATGAGACTTTTTTCGTGCTTCGCCTTTCGTGCTCACTATCAAAAGGCTGACTAATCTTATGAAAAACTCGCTGCTTTTCGAGAGTTGATCACGTCAGGCGTTACAACTTAATCATTGATTAGATCATAGATATTGACTGATCGACTAAATTCCAGACTATTCTTGGTTACGTTCCAGTACAAGAGCAGTCTGTTATGAAACCAGTCGGAAAGAATTCAGATCACCGCCCTATGAGTCATCCATGAAAATTTCGTCATTGTTTGTTACGTTGGAATGAAGCAAAGAGTATTAACGAGTTCCTAAACAGCCTCTACAATATGCACACTCTATTACTGAACACACACATTCCAGAAGCTTCTCGCTATTGTGTTTATAAAGCGCACAGTACGTTCACATGGATCATACCATCGTC